GGTAATGAATGAAAAAATACCTAGAAAATGGATTACAATAGAACTAATGTGCAATAAAGCCAAAGCTGTTACTGCACAATCTGCCTGGCATTTGCAGTATGTGAAAACACTTTTACAACAGGCTCAACAAATTTTCGTCATATGCATTCAGTAATTAAAATACATGAAACAAAAGTACATATTAGTGCTGTCGAGGCCTACCTCAGATCATCAAAAAATAAGTCATTTGATAATTCAATTAGTATTAAAATATTAAATGAAAAAAATCGACAAATTTATAGCAATGTCCACATAATAAAACAAATATTTGAAATAATAAAGTTTTTAGGCAAACAAAACTTACCCTATAGAGGATCAAATGTTACTGAAACACTTAGCCACTTTTAAATGATAATTTGAATCATGGGAATTTCCTGGAAATGATTCGTAGTATATCAAAAAATGATCAAATATTAAGAGATCATTTAGAGAAGGCTATTTTAAAGAGCAAACGTAGAAAAGAAAAGCTTAAACTCTCTGAAAAATCAAAGGGAAGAGGTTCTCTCATAACCTTGTTGTCGAAAACAACTGTTAACAAAGTTATAGATGTTGTTCTTGATCAGATCAGGAATTTAATAAAAAAGGAGATTGGTAACAAACGTTTTAGTTTGCAAATGGATAGTACTCAAGACATTAGTGTTTATGATCAAGCAACTATTTGCCTACGATACATATATAATGGCAAAATAACAGAAAGGCTTTCACTTACAAAAGTTACAAACTCTTCTGGAAAAGGATTTTTTGATATCTTGAGTGAATGCTTTTTAAAACATGGAATTCAAATGAGAAATATAATTGGAGAATTATTTGATGGTGTGGCAAATATGCGGGGTGAATTAGTTGGGTTGCTAGCTCTTATTAGACAAGAGGCTCCAAGTAGTTTGTATATTTGGTGTTATAGTCACATATTAAATCTATGTATATGTGATTCATGCCATAATGTTTAAGGCAAAAATTTATTTGGATTGTTGAACAGACTAGCAACTTTCTTTGGTGAATCATATAAAAGAATGGATGCTTGGGTGAAACAGAATAACTCATCTGGCCAAAATAAGTTGAGAAGACTGCAAAAAATAGGAGAGACAAGGTGGTGGCCACATGAAAAAGCCCTTAGATGGATATATGGCAAAGAGAGCCTACTTCCAATAACGATAAGTGCCTTACAATTTATAATTGATAATAAATCATTTGAGGCAAAACCCTCACCAGAAGCAGTCTTTCATTGATAATTTATGTAAATTTAAGACTCGTACTTCTATAATATATTTAGAAATTTTTGAAATAATGGGGCCATTGTCATTATATCTTCAAACTAAGAATTTAGATATTTTATCAGCGTGGAAAATGATAAGATGCCAAGTCTTCTGTGGTATCTATAACTATTACTTCAATTCAAAATAAAGCGACAAAAATGGCTTCTAATTTAAATGGAACACTTTCATATTTAAAGCTCCCAGAGAGAATCTGGGTACAAACTGCTCTGCCAAAAAATCGAATAGGACGAGTAAAGAGAATATATAGTGACGAAGGCCAAGATGAACGTCCTCAAGAATCGATTGACCTTTATAGGGTCGAAGTATTTCGTCATATAATTGATCAAATTATAAACAGCTTGTCGGAACGGTTTTCTGCGAATAAAAAGCTTATTTTGAATGTGCAATATTTGCATCCAAGGCATTTTGAGGGTATAAATAGTAAAGGTATTTCTGAAAAGGCCTTAGAAAAACTGGCACAATTGGCAAATATATCGAGTGTTAAATTACGTAACGAATTATGTTCATTTGCCAGTGTATTTAAAGATTTAGTGGAAGAATTAAATGAAACGGACAATGATATCGTATGTATAAGTGAGGATTCTTATGAAGAAGATGAAATATTACAAAATAATAACTCAAAATTTGATAATAGATGTAACAAGTGTTTAATATGTGTGTACGAAATTATTAAAAGATACAATATGCATACAAGTGCTTACACTAATTTATTTTTAGCTTATGAATAATTTACGCAAGTCAATTGTGAGAGAACATTTAGTAAATTAAAAATTATAAAAAATAGGCTGAGACCAAATATAGGACAAGAAAAATTAGAAGCATTTTTAATGATGTCAGTTGAACGGGAACTTTTAGCGCAGATTGAACTAAAAGATATTCTTGTTTATTTGTGCAAAGGTTCAAAGTTAATGAGAGATTTATTTAAAAATTTATATTAATTCTTTTATTTAAATCTTATTTATATCTATTTACAATATGATCGGCGGTAGCAATTTTATTTTCTGTGCAATATTGTATAATTGCAATGATTTTTTATGTAAAATTAATTGATTTTATATATTATTTTATATTTAACATGTGATGTATGATTTAATTTTATAGTGCACTATTGTTGTATATCTAATATAAAATATATGTTCAATAAATATGATTTTAGATGTGCAATTTTATGAAATAAAATATATATGAGTATCATGTCATTATTCTTCTTTTTTTTTTAAATGTACATCGTTTGTACCTATTTTTAAAAATAAGTAGTTATAAAAATCATATAATTCAGAAGCCATTTAAGGAAACCCGGCCGAAGGCCGGGCAAAACAAAATTGGGGGTATGGAGGCGAAGCCCCCATAAAAAATGAGGCCGCTCTCACGAGGCCGTAGCGTCGCCAGTCCGCCCCTGATATGAGGTGTGAATCAGACCTTATTTTGATGAGAGTTAATTCCATAATTTTCCTATTCTTATAATATGTTAATGAAATATATATATACCTATTGCATTCAATATGAACAATTATTTGAAACAGGTTTGAATACACTTTTTTTAATATTAATTTCCTTTTTTTTTTTTAATTTTTATTATTTATGTACTCAATAAAAAAATTAATCTTGCTAGATGAGGGTTTTGTATATTGTTATTAAAAAAACTGATACTTACTAACAAAGGCCTAGAACTTCCTCTGAAATATAGTTAACTCAATCACTTTCCAATATGGATACTTTAAAAATGACATCTTTATTGGATTTTAAAATATTTTATTTTCTTCAAAAAATTGAATAATATAATATTTATAGCCAGAATAATCAAATTTTAAAGTTTTTATTTTAAAGATATAATTTTTCAAAGAGTAAAAAAAATTAATAATCTTCAAATATTTTTATTGGTAAAAACAAAGTATGTCTTTTTTAAAAATTGAAGTTTACAAAGTTAATTTTTCAAAAAAAGAATAATTTTTTCCCAAATAATTTTCAAAAAAAATATTAATAATATGTTGTGTAAAAAAAATGAAAAAAGTTTAACAAAAAAAATGATTGGCGTTTAATTATTTAATAATAAAATTTTCTTTCTTTTCTTCAAATCACATAATCTTAAACAATGGATTGACATTTTATATATATATATGTATATAATTATTTATAAAATAAGCCCAACGATGACAGTTATCATGGAAACATATTTTGGATTTGGACTTATTCAGAATGAGTCTTTTATAATTTGCTTCAAGAAATTGAAAACAAATTATTTTAGGAAGAGCACCACAGATTGTTTTATCATCAAGATACCAAATATTTATATCCAAATCAAATTTAGGTTTAGTATAATGGGTGAGATAATGAATACCATGTAAAATAAATGAGGACGTGGGCCCCCTGCTGGATTCTTTCGTCAATCTATGACATGTGGGCTGAATAAAGGAGTTATGTTACAGTAAATCTTTACAGATTTTGTATAAACAGGAAATTTGGGATAAAAACAATTTATGAATTGTTCACGAATTTGCTATTAAAAGCATTTTTAAAGTGTACTTTGATAATAGCATATTTTGGATATAATACAAATGGCATGTGAAGTTATTTTGTCTTCTCCCTTAACACCAAATCTTAATTGATAAGTATACTTAATAAGTTAAGACCCTGGGTTTTGACCCGTGGCAATTATTTTTGCTAATAATCTTCTAAATAGCCCATTGCAATGGGGTGGATACCACCACAGTGTTTGTGAAGGTTTGCTCCTATAATGGATTCGAATCTATGATGAGCATTTAAATGATTCTTTGAGATGAATGTAGATTTTATACGAAGTGAGAGGGCAAAAACCATTGCGTCTGGATGTGGAAAATTTGTTAAAATAATTGATAAATATCATAACCCACAAATCATATTTTTTTTATTCCATATTTTCCATAATATATATGACTTCTCTAAAAATTTATCGAAATCTTGGAAGTATGAATACGGACTATTCTGATTCATTCATCTCAAATAAAGAAAATTTATTATATCCATGAAAATTCTGATCCCTTCATTCTTGATGGGCTATCAGCTAGTAATTCTATAAAATCACAAAGGTTCCTAACTCAGATCATAGGCGCAATTTGTTTTTATACTTAATTTTATGTACTTATTTTTGATGTATGCTTTTTTCCATTCTAGTGTTAATTCAAAATATTTATCATTGGCTTAAAGTTTTTTTTAAAATTATTCGAGTATTATTCGTTCAAATTAATATCCGTATAAATGAATCGAACAGGGATTGAAATCAATATTTTTTTAATTGGTTCATTAAAGGATAGTTTCTGTTAAATTTTATCAATATAATATTATCTATTAAAGTTAAACCCAGTAAAGAATAAAGAGACTGAAATTACCTTGTTCTTTTGATAACACGTATAAAGCTAGTCCAGGTTATATGTCGAAAATGATCAGATAAAAATTAGCCTATCTAGAAATAAGCACTTATTCACCCCATCTCTATTTTTCCAGAAAAATTAAAATGATGCCCTTGCATTCGATTTCCTGTTCCCTTCCCATCAAAAACTTAGGCGGCGTCCTTTGGTAAAGTACCTTTTTTTACCATAATGTTTTCAATTATTTAAAAATAGTTTTCATTTAATATCAAAGATTCTTAACAATTCTTAAAGCGAATAAAATTCTTAATTTGACATACAATTTATCCTTTGTTATTTTTAGGACGCCGTTCCTCTAACCATTGGACAAGAATTTAGTGCTTACGAAGCTCAAATTTCCTTCGGCATAGAAAGAATTAAAAATACACTGCCTCATTTATACCTCTTAGCAGCAGGTTGATTATTTAATTAATATAGAATTTCATGCAAATCACTTTTTTTTGTAATGTCACAACTTTCATTTGTTCCCATAAATGTAAAGTGACAGTTTTTATTGGATTAAATCATTTCTATCACTAGTTTAATAAAAATATAACACATTTATATTTCGTTTTTTAAATATAAAGAGGATTTCATTGGCATAATGATACTAAATTTAGTGTATATCATATTGGGAAATGGAATCCATGGGGATTCGGAATCTCGGGCTTAGATTATTTACTGATGACAATTCATAAGGGTGAAAATGATAAGAAGTGTATTCCAGCATTTATAGAGTTTCAACACTGAATTTCAAGCAATTTTGCCAATTTATAGGTTTTTCATATAAACTAAATATTACACAATAGTTTATGTCCAAAATTGTTTGAAATAGCTTGAGTGCATTTCCGGTCAAAACAGATTTTCACAATTTAAGAATTGTCTCAGTAAATAATTTAAAATCGAGAGATTTCATATCCTCGTGAATCTTCCACATTCCATTACATTTATAAAATATTATGTGAATTTGAACTAAATTTGGTTTTTTTTTTAAAAAAGAACCACGCCTTCAAGCACCCCTGGTTAAAAGATTAATAATTATATGCTATTATTATTTGCTTAGCCTTTTATTTTATTTAGAATAACCTATTTTATATTTTTATATATAAATTATTATAATATAGTATAATTAATCAAAGTGTCTAGATATGAAAGTAAAAGTAACAATAAACTTAAATTATTTATAGGAGGAACAGCTGTTGGGACAGGATTGAATACTAAAATTGGTTTCGCCGAAAAAGTAACCAAGGAAATCTCCAATATCACAGGTCATTAATTACTTATATATAAAACAATGGCTTCATTTAGCCTACACCGATTTCCTCTCCATTGATCGGACGAATATTTTTTCGATTTAGATCCAGCCAAACATTGATTAAAAAATTCATTCACACCGGATGGTATTTGAACAAAATTTTCTTAAACTTCGGGCCGGACATGGACCTCATCAACATTTTAAATTATTTTGTTTTCCAAATACATTTAAAAATATTATTTTCAAGAATAACACCATTTCTTTTACCCCCGGTACTAATATTTTTATTTCAAATTGGACGCCGATAATTCTATATCGAACCGGATAAAAAATATTTTTAAAATATGATTTCAGATCGAACTCGGTTGCTTAAAATTATAGTCTTGATTAGTCGGATAAAAAAAATCTGGTTCGGACCAGAGATGAAAAAATATTTCATAACTTCATTACTCTTGTTATATTCATTAGTTTTTTTACGGGCATTGTACAATGATAGGTATTTTAATGAAAATACATAAAATAAATCTATAATTTATAATCGCAATAAAATCAATATAATAATCCCAAAAGGAAACGCAATTCACAATGACTCTCCTGATTGAGCCAATCATTAAAATAATGAAATATATCTGATAATATAACATTACACGAATGTATAAAACATATCATTATACAATCCGCATTAACAAAACTTATTATTATAACAACACTTATAAGGCATAACCTCTGCTTTGGTGTTTTTGTAACAAATTATTTTAAAAATTATAATTGAGCATCACAATCAAACTACAATATTTTATGTCGTTCCTTTATCCTTACAAATAACCTACCGATTTAACATTTCATCATTTAATAATATACGGTTAAACTACCATAGAATGACCACTCAAGAGTGGTTACATCAACTTGGGGTCAAAATAAGAAGAAAAATACTTATTTTATATTTTTTAAAAAATAGGTCTACCTTTCAAAACTGCACCAAATAAATTCGAAGCCCTTGCCTGTAATGACACGGTCGTTGAAGTCAGCGGCGCCCTAAATGTCTTAGCTTGTAGCTTCATGAAAATAGCGAATGATTTGAGATTTTTGGGTTCCGGTCCCAGGTGCGGCTTCGCCGAACTAATTTTACCCGAAAATGAACCTGGAAGCAGTATAATGCCTGGTTTGTGCATATTAATATATCAATACTTTATTATTAGTTTCTCTTATAACTTCGCTTTGAGTCGAAAAAATAATCTTTCTGAATCTTCTTCTATTTACTTAATTTTTTAAAAAATAAATATTTTTAAATTTTTTTATTACGACTTTTCCTAATTTATAAAAAAAAATACTTCCCTTCCTAAGAAGATCGAAATGGAGTCTAGAACCTTATAATAATTCAAAAATCAATGTTAGATCTTCCATTTATTAATAACTCTTATAATATTATTTATCTTTATTTTTTAGTTGTTACATGGGATAAATTTGAAAATAAGATTGCATACTTTTTGGAATATAATTAATATAAAAATCTTTTTTATTAATTAAATATACTATTTATAGTTAAAATAGCAAATACTTTTTTATAAATGACTTCTATAATTTATTTATCCAAAAATATTTTTATTTACAGGAATTTTTTTTTAAAATCAAATGCAAGGCAAAGTGAACCCGACACAATGTGAATCGATGACCATGATTGCTTGTCAAATTATGGGCAACCACATAGCCCTAACTGTAGGCGCTTCTAACGGTCATTTTGAATTGAATGTTTTTAAGCCCTTAATTATAAGCAACGCTCTAAGATCCTCTAGACTTCTATCAGATTCCGCTTTTACCTTTACTACCCATTGTTTGACTGGACTCAAAGTTAATAAAGTAAGTTATTTTGCAATCGCACAATAAGCTGTTATTTTATTTATAATTGAAAGTAGTGAGATCTAGATTTACCCCTATACAGTTTTTTTTATTACCCTAATAAGTGATAAGGTCGATTATTAATTTTTAATATACTCTGAGCTTATTTCGCTGTATTTATTATTACAGAAAAAAATATTAATAGTTCTATAATTTAATATTGATTATTTTAACTATCAAATAACTCAAGTTTTAATATTTTTCTCCCATAATAATATATCAAATAACTCATGTTTTAATATTCTTCTCCCATAATAATATATCAAATACGGAAAAAAATATTAAAGGAAAGGGTAGAAAAGTATTTAAAGGAATCTTTAATGTTAGTCACCGCTCTAAATCCTCATATAGGTTACGATAAAGCTGCAAAAATAGCGAAAATTGCTCATAGTAAAGGTATAACTCTTAAGGAGGCGGCTGTCGATGTATTGTCTTATCTTACCCCTCAACAATACGATACTTGGGTAGATCCCAAAAAAATGCTAGGACCTTCTTAAACTATAATTTTATGAAATCACGAAATAGATATGTCAATTTAAGACAAATATTATTTTTTGTTTTTAATATTTATTATTTTAATTGATTTGAATCGGGAAAATTTGTTATAATAAAATTTGTTTCTATTTATTATCACGCGATGACATAATTTGACGCTGATAACATTGAGACATGTTAGAAGCAAATGTATTTTTGATGGAAAATTCGTTAAATTAATGTCCAATTTATATTCTCCATTCAAGGTTTGTGAGAATTATTGTACAAGATTATATTTATTTTTGTAAATTGGGATAAACATAAGATTTCTTCATTGCGAGAGAATACACATTTTTACATATAAGGTTAGTCTAGTTATGTTCTATTTAGACTTTTTAAGAGGAACATAAAAAATATATAGATATTTGTATTATATTGTACAATTAGAATTAGGCTGCATTCAAAGTGGAGACGGAATCGTTTTTTACATCCGTTCCGTCAAAAGTCAATCTCATTAAAAATGATATATATTGATTTTCATTTTTAAAAAATTATAAGTAACTTTATAACGCACTTAAAATATGCCGAAAAGTCAAAATATTTTGACTATAAAATTTGTCAGATCCATTTTTAAGACGGAAGATATCGGAATGGATGCACTAAGAACATATATATCATTTTTAATGAGATTGACTTTTGACGGAACAGATGTAAAAAACGGATCCGTCTCCACTTTGAATGCAGCCATAAAATTTAAAAATAATCTCCAAAAAAAATATAGATAGAGAAGACGAGGGTTATCATTAAAGCTTCATTTTAAAAAAAGGTTAGACAGTATAGCGATCAGAGCTATAGCTAAAAAAATTCCTCGAGGGTGTTAAGTAAGTACCAATGTTTTTTTTAAATTACAATTATAGATCACATTAAAGTTAGGCTGCTATATCAAAATCAAAAGATATAATCCGCTTCGAAATTATAGATTGATTTTAATTCTTTTACTTCTATATATAATGATCGTAAAATCATAAATTGCAAGAGTATTTTGAATTGCATTTTATTTTTTTTGAATCACTATTAAAACTCCGATATTAAGACAGTCTTAGTTATATACTAACTCTGACTTATTTGTCTTTATTGATAAAATATGTATACATTTGATTAAAAAAATTCATAATATTATGCGACGAGTTTTATTTTTTAATAAAATTAGCAATTCTATTCTACAGCATTTATTCCCTATACGTTAATAATACTTTGCTTATATATTCCTTATATTTAAACCCTTTTTTGAGCATTAAAAATGAAGCTGTTGAATTTAATTAGATATGGTATGTGCGTGGGCCTGTTATATTATAATAACGACCCTTCCACTCAAGCTAGCAAAAAATTCACAACCCTTAAATTTTTAACCTGACCTGCCCATTCACGAAAGACAAAATACTGCCCAAAAAATTCATCATAGACTATTTTTTTTAAATAAGAATTGACTTTTCTAAATTTAAGAATTATTTTAATTAATATTTTTACACTTTTTAATTTATTATATATGACCTTTCACTTTTTATTCAACTATAATTCTACCTTCTTTATTTTCATAATTTAAAAAATTATAACATTGTTTGATACATTTTCTAGAAATTAAGATATAAGAATTTACTACCATACTCACATTTATAAATCAAACTAATTATTTAAAAGAAAAATGTCGATATATTTTTTTAAATTTTAGTTTTGTTCATTTTCCCTCAACCATTGGCTATAGAAAATAATCTTTACTAAATCTCTATTGGAACCTATTTTAAAAAGGAGGATTATATATTGTTTGTTATTCATTTTTAATCGATGACTTTTATAAGTTTATCCTGACATTTCTTAAAAGAATAATACGCTTCAAATAATCATTCAAGAATTCTCTAAGCGTTTAATATGAATATGTGATTTTTTAAATGTGCGTGATGAATTGGAAAATTTATAAGAGTTATTTGATGGGTATTCTAGATTTTTAAATCATTCAATATTTTGTAACATGATAATAAATATGTCTTATTTTTCTACATTGGTTAGATACTTGAGACTTTCAAATTAATTTAAAATCAAAACTACTTTATGTTAGCTGATAATTTTTCTTTTATAAGTTCTTTTTAAAAAATATTATTGTTATTTATTTCACCATCTAAAGTAGGTGAAATTTTATTAGTTTTTGTTTATGATAGATTAGTATCTGCATAAAAGAGGATATGAACTATTTGCCTCCATTTAAAAAAAATTGGTTTGAGGGGGGGGGGGGTTAGCGGGTAAATCTGAGGCATGTTATCTACATTTTTTTTAATGTGGACGTCGCCAAAAATGTATTATAGAGGATCAAACTTGTGAATCCGTTAAGGCAAAAAAATTAAGAATTAATTACGGTTTGTTTAGTAAATTTTATGAATCCTAGGTTTAGGGTCAGGAATATTTATAAGAATTTTTATAAATTATAATTGAATTATAGATTTTTGCACATAACCAAGAGACTTATTATCTCATCTTGAACTTGAACAATACAAAGGTTTTCAAAATTATAGAATTCTCTACAAATAAAATAATCATATCAAGAATTTACCTCTCAAATCTTTGAACAGCATCACTTTTTACCTTATATTTTCCGTATTATCACTCGACATTTTTTCTCAAATCGATTGCGCTATACTAATATTTCGGGATATATACGTTTCAAAAAATAATATGAAAATTATTATTTAATATTATGCTATAAAACCTAGTATATAAATGCAACATTATGGCTTATTTGCAAGGTAATGCTACGACTTTTGACGGCCCAGGGCGAAAATGAATTCAGAGGTCCATAAATACCCTAATTTACCTAATCTTAAAAAACTATAAATAAAGACCTTCGTTGCAAATGGTAGTGAATAAGCAACATGGATTATGAAATTGGTAATATTTGTGGTGCTATAAATATTTTTGGAAAAAAAAAGAATTATTTCACTATTGTTCTTCATTAACAATAATCGGATACGTTAATGTTGCAAAAAAACGGACCGCGTTCATTCTATATTTTAAAAATTGTTTGATATGCCAAATTAACACCATATTAGCCATTGGATTCCAAATATTTTTTTTGAATATAGAATAGAATATTATATAATTTTTAACAATTAATGGTTGTTATATATGGAAATTCAATCTTTTTGCATGTATTCCATGTTTTTGGATAATATACCTAAAGATTTGGTTTTCGTTATATTACTCCAAATTCATTAACTGAATAAATTTATTTTTACGTTCATAACTATGATTGCCAATTCATTAATCAAAAGTGTACATACAAAGGAGTCAGCTGTAGCACCAATGATATCATTTCCAGCCATAAAATGGCGCTACAACAATCTACGTTTTTAATGTATTATAAATCACCTATTTGGTAATATGTTAAAAAATTTTACCCCCCCCCCCCTAGTTCATTATATTTTTAAGAGTTGTTGAAAGATACTTTTAAAATGGATCGAGATACAGATACATGGTCTAAAATAATATCTAGATGCAGATATTTTAGTAGATACAACATTTTTATATCTAGATACTTGTATCTAGATCCTTTAACAACTCTGTTTTATATAAAAATTTGACCAGATTCATTAAAATTTATGAAAAGTTACTGAGTCTGTAATTTTTTTTTTACGAATTTTATCAGGAATCCAAACCGTAAGGATATTCGGTTCAGATTTAGATAAAAATAAAGGTTCAATGCTTGTGTTCTATTTGTAAAAATTATATCAGTTTTGTTTCAAGATATAAAATCCAAACTTTTTCACTATTAAGATTTACTAATGTTGTAACGAAGCTACCTTTTTTGAAAAAATGAACGAAATTCCTTATATTTTTGACGAAACATGAACGCGATCCTTTTTTTGACGAATTTTTACGTTTGTTGATTTTAGAATATCTTATTTTTATTCATTTGAAAATTAAAAAATCCGTATTTTTTAAGAAAAAATGATTACTTTTTAATCAGCTACATTTGATTTTTAACCTGCCTCTATAATTGTCCTAGTATAGATTATTAATTTGAATATTAATATTTAATAGATTAGCATAAGCATAGATGGTATTTCATCGTCATCTGATTCTGTAAACTCAGAATCAGGTGAATTAACATAACCATAAGCCAAATAAACTAATTACTTTACAGTAACATAATAAATTCAATGAATTAATTCTATCCTTCCCAAATGTAAAATGTTCCCAAAAAGTAAAATATCAGTTTCAAGTTCTAATTTAAAAAGAAAACTGATTGTAATATATACGATTTTAGATAATATGATTATAAGTATTTGTTAATAATTTGTTTTAGTTATATTTCATAGGTTTAAAATTATAATAATAGATACATAATAATCACATAGATATAAAATATTTAATATTTTTTAGAATTTATTGATTTTTAGTATTTCACTATTATTTTTAAGTTTTTATCAAGGGTTTTATATTTTAATAGTTGAAATTTTATGATATATACAAGTTTTTATATATTAAAAATAATAAAATTATATTTTAATAAACAAAAATTTTTTTTTTCAATAACTATTAATTGGGTAATAATAGATTGTGTTAATGCAAATTTTAAAAAAATTTATTAATGATAGTGAACACATTCTATTTTTTTTAGAAATGTTGACATTACTACTATTTACTAAAAAATGGGGATGACTAAAATACGCGTCCCCGAAAACTACGCGTCCCTACGCGTCCCCGGTCAAAACGACTTATTTTTATTATTATTAATAGGAAATCTTATTAAGCTTTATAAGATGAGTTAGAAAATGTTTTTTTTAATTTAAAAAAAATACGGTAACTATATAAAATTTACAAAAATTTATTTTTTTAAAAAATAAACTACGCGTCCCTACGCGTCCCCGGTCAAAATACAGTTTTTTTTAAAAAATCAAAACGGATTCATATTTAGCTTATTAAAAGAATACAGAATATGTAAATATTATATTTTAAACTATTTTATAACTTAGTGATTTTTTCAAAAAACACTTTTTTTTTCAAAAACACTACGCGTCCCCGGTCAAAAAACCTTTTTTTTAAAAAAATAATAGCAGATTCATGTTTAACTTTTTAAGGAGATTCAGAAAATGGTATTAATTAAAAAAAAATTTAAAAAAAATTTTTTCCAAAAAAATTTTTTTTTGGCTAAACTACGCGTCCCTACGCGTCCCCGGTCAAAATACACTTTTTTAAAAAAAATCAAAACGGATTCATATTTAGCTCATTAAAAGAATACAGAATATGTAAATATTATATATTAAACTATTTTATAACTTAGTGATTTTTTCAAAAAACACTTTTTTTTTCAAAAACACTACGCGTCCCCGGTCAAAAAACCTTTTTTTTTAAAAAATAATAGCAGATTCATGTTTAGCTTTTCAAGGAGATTCAGAAAATGGTATTAATAAAAAAAATTTAAAAAAAAAAAATTTTTCCAAAATATTTTTTTTGGCTAAACTACGCGTCCCCGGCCAAAATACAGTTTTTTTTAAAAAATCAAAACGGATTCATATTTAGCTCATTAAAAGAATACAGAATATGTAAATATTATATATTAAACTATTTTATAACTTAGTGATTTTTTCAAAAAACACTTTTTTTTCAAAAACACTTTTTTTTCAAAAACACTACGCGTCCCCGGTCAAAAAACTGTTTTTTTTTAAAAATAAAAGCAGATTCATGTTTAGCTTTTCAAGAAGATTCAGAATAATTTTGGTAGTTGAGAATTCAAATAAAATATTTAAAAAAGCCAATGTCTAGCCCATATTTAAAATTAAAAAATTTTCAAGGATATCTATTTTAAATTTTACCCAAGTTGATTTCTATCATAAATGTAAATTATGATATTTCTAATACCCTTACATTGCAACATTTTTACCTCTTTTTCTCCTAAATATTAATATTTTTATGAAATATATTAATAAAGCATATTTAGTATCGTATACACCTAACTAATTAGTAATTACCCATCAACCCCGTCATTCTGATTAAATTAAATTAATTTTATAAAAAAAATTTTTAATATATATATATATACAAATATATCAAAATATAAAATTGACGGGGGGGGCTCAATGGTTAGAACGTATGCCTTCCGAACGATAAGTTGCGAGTTCGAATCCAGTATTGCCATAAAAAATTTAAAAAAAAAATTTTTAACATTAGCGTGATAATAATAGCTCTCGATTTATTTAACATTAAGATGATAGGAAAGTTGATAGAAAAAAAAAATTTTAACATTAGGAGATAGGAAAGTGAAATTAACGTTAAGAAAATATCAAAGTTGATAGAAAAAAAATACGAAAACGTTCATTTCTTGATTACATTTATTTTAAATTTTTTATGGCAAAACGGGATTCGAACTCGCAACTTATCGTTCGGAAGGCATACATTATAACCATTGAGCCCCCCCGTCAATTTTATATTTTGATATATTTGTATATATATATATTAAAAAATTTTTTTATAAAATTAATTTAATTTAATCAGAATGACGGGGTTGATGGGTAATTACTAATTAGTTAGGTGTATACGATACTAAATATGCTTTATTAATATATTTCATAAAAATATTAATATTTAGGAGAAAAAGAGGTAAAAATGTTGCAATGTAAGGGTATTAGAAATATCATAATTTACATTTATGATATCAACTTGGGTAAAATTTAAAATAGATATCCTTGAAAATTTTTTAATTTTAAATATGGGCTAGACATTGGCTTTTTAAATATTTTATTTGAATTCTCAACTACCAAAATTATTCTGAATCTCCTTGAAAAGCTAAACATGAATCTGCTTTTATTTTTTTAAAAAAAAGGTTTTTTGACCGGGGACGCGTAGTGTTTTTGAAAAAAAAAGTGTTTTTTGAAAAAATCACTAAGTTATAAAATAGTTTAATATATAATATTTACATATTCTGTATTCTTTTAATGAGCTAAATATGAATCCGTTTTGATTTTTTTAAAAAAACTGTATTTTGGCCGGGGACGCGTAGTTTAGCCAAAAAAAAATTTTTTTTTTTAAATTTTTTTTATTAATACCATTTTCTGAATCTCCTTAAAAAGCTAAACATGAATCTGCTTTTATTTTTTAAAAAAAACGGTTTTTTGACCGGGGACTAGTGTTTTTGAAAAAAAAAGTGTTTTTTGAAAAAATCACTAAGTTATAAAATAGTTTAATATATATTATTTACATATTCTGTATTCTTTTAATGAGCTAAATATGAATCCCTTTTGATTTTTTAAAAAAAACTGTATTTTGACCGGGGACGCATAGGGACGCGTAGTTTAGCCAAAAAAAATTTTTTTGGAAAAAATTTCTTTTTAAATTTTTTTTTATTAATACCATTTTCTGAATCTCCTTAAAAAGCTAAACATGAATCTGCTTTTATTTTTTAAAAAAAACGGTTTTTTGACCGGGGACGCGTAATGTTTTTGAAAAAAAAAGTGTTTTTTGAAAAAATCACTAAGTTATAAAATAGTTTAAAATAAAATATTTACATATTCTGTATTCTTTTAATGAGCTAAATATGAATCCGTTTTGATTTTTTTAAAAAAAGTGTATTTTGACCGGGGACGCGTAGGGACGCGTAGTTTAGCCAAAAAAATATTTTTTTGGAAAAAATTTTTTTTTAAATTTTTTTTTTATTAATACCATTTTCTGAATCTCCTTAAAAAGTTAAACATGAATCTGCTATTATTTTTTTAAAAAAAAGGTTTTTTGACCGGGGACGCGTAGTGTTTTTGAAAAAAAAAGTGTTTTTTGAAAAAATCACTAAGTTATAAAATAGTTTAAAATATAATATTTACATATTCTGTATTCTTTTAATAAGCTAAATATGAATCCGTTTTGATTTTTTAAAAAAAACTGTATTGTAGGGACGCGTAGTTTATTTTTTAAAAAAATAAATTTTTGTAAATTTTATATAGTTACCGTATTTTTTTTAAATTAAAAAAAACATTTTCTAACTCATCTTATAAAGCTTAATAAGATTTCCTATTAATATTAATAAAAATAAATCGTTTTGACCGGGGACGCGTAGTTTTTGGGGACGCGTATTTTAGTCATTCCCCTAAAAAATTATTTTGAGCTGTATACACAAAAAATATTTTTAAGAATTCTCTTGTCAATATATGTAAGGAGCAAAAATATTTTTTTGGTAGAGATCACTTCTATATGGTGACTTGGATAGCTGGGGTCACCAAATATCAATATAGAAAAATATCTGAATAAATACTGATAACCTGGTTAAGAGTTTTTAGAGGTTTGATTCAAAGGTAACCAATTTTTTAAAGGTTCACGGTTTGTAAATAATACCGGTTCTGTTTGAATCCCTACAGCTACTATATTTCTTTAAATCCAATTTTTCCCCAATGTCAATTAAGGCCATTATATCTCCCCTCTATAACTATATTTGTTTCTACCATGCTATTAATAAATCAATTGTGCTTGTTTTGTGAGTTTATAGATTTTAGTTATCTCACAAGATTCAAATAAATAAATATATTGAAATTTATTTTTATATCTTTGACTTAGAAATTGCTATTATTGTCTATAAAAACATAGTCAATTTAATTTGAAAATTAAATTTAAAAAAATAAACTATTAAAATTTGAAAAAGTGATTTAAGGATGTGGAAAATGTTTTTTAAAAAAAATTGAAATTAGACCAGGCAATTGGTGCATAGAAAATTATGGAGCCATATAATTATTATTTTGTAATATTTTGATAAGCCAGGCAGTGCCTACATAAGAGAGGTGAAAGAACAATTTGCCTCCAATTTTTTGATGGGATTTAGAAAACCGAAGTGAGGTGTAGGGCAAAATAAATACTATTTGTAATTAAATTAAAAATAAGTGATATCAATTGAAATTTATTTGGATATCTATTTAATTTTAATTGTTGAAAGGAATTTTGTCAAGTTTTATAAATAAATCTATAATCTGTTAAGAAAAAATTCTTAATGCATTTTACAAACATACATTTTTCTATCTAGCATAAAAATTTATTATATATAATTTGTATATATTCAAAATTAGATATAAATTAATTTTATTTAATATTCACATATAGTTGTTTATCTAATTTTTAAATATTGCCTTAAAACGTCATGAGCTTGAGTTTCTCTTCCAAAATGCTATAAATATATATAAGTCAGGTAGAATAAATTATGTTTACCCTAATAACAACACAACTACATCCAACAACCTTTCTTGGTTTTCCTTCTTTATCAATTTTACAAAGTCCCGCCATTTCACCTAGAGTTTTACTATCTTCCACCTTATATATAATATGAAATTTAAAAAGGATCAATATAAATATATGTACTTCTAATAATTTAATCCCATGTTCATTACATAATGCTTTAATTAATTTGACATAACTTTGTTCATCACAACTTTTAGATAAAAGACATAACTCAGCAGCTCTCCTGTAAATTATTATAATATTTAAAATATGTTAAATACTTGTCTAAATATTTAGTGGCCTCTCTTATACCTTTAACAACACCATCATGTGCTAGAGCTATTTTAATAACTTCTTTAATTGCAGTTTCTTTGTCCATTCCTCCTAAAATTTCACTATTAAAGTATATAAATATATCTTTTTTTTAATTTTAAAAAACACCTTCCAGGATCCATGAAACGAATGTTGTATTAGCTGATATAAAAGGAAAAATGTGATAAAAATTTATACAAATTAACTAAATTTTATAATTCTTTTAATTTAAAATGATAATTTTATTGAAGATTTTTAATTTTAAAAATTAGAAATAATAGTGTCACATAGTCACATCTAATTGTATAATTATAATAAGAATGTGATTAGTTTAAAATTTGTTTATGTAATATGTAGGATAATGGTCAAATATAAAATAAACAGCTATAATCAATTAACATTAAAGTTAAACGGCTCAATTTTAGTCTATTTTTTAAAATGGTTAACTCGATATTTTATCCATAAAATTATCACATAAGCCTGAAAATTATCCTAAATGGCACAAAGATGTGGATATCTATTAAATAATATTCTCTAGGTTTAGGCAATATTTTCCTGGCAAATAATTAAGTTTGCCCTTTTAAAAATCTGTTCAAATTTAGCCGTTTAACAACATTAAAGATTTCTTAGGGCTAAATATTGGCATGCAAAAGCTACGGCTTCTAGCATGGGGAGGGGACGATTTGTTTGAAATTATATATTTAAATTGTATCCCCTTCGTCTGTGTATAGTAATTTAATTATATTCTAATTTATTTTTCCCCTATTTACCATGTAAATTTTTTATTTAGACTCATTCTCATTTTTTCAATAATATGCAACAACATTCAAAGAATGTATACCTTTTGAAATTTCAAAATTTTACTTTTAAAAAAATTGGCCCACCTAAATGATCATATAAAATATCCTTAAAATAAAATTTTGGATTCGGCTTTCTGGTAGAATTTGCAAAAACTAAACTTGGGATGGGACAAAGACAATACTTATATTTCTTATAGTAATATCATTCAATCTTGAAACAGTGAATAATTAATTCAATAAATATATAAAAATTCTCATTATCAGCATAACAAATCATTCATACATGTCTATCCTCGTCAATTCTCAATTCATCTTTTGTCCTTTATTAAGCATACAAATAATAAAGGTAAAACAATATGTTAAACAAGGATTATTATCTTATTATAATGGTGCACAAATTTTTATATGTTACATTCATTCAATTAACACCATTTATATTAACTTAACTTTTTCATTTAATTGTTTAATAGATTTTTTGTATATATAAAGAATAAATTTATTATATTTTTTCAGTTGAAATATTTATAAAATATATTTATTTAATAAAAGTTTTAAATCTTTTTGTTAAATCTTGCTTTACTCCCTGCCAACCTTAACAAAATACAAGGCATTTCTAAATATATTATTTAATAAAAAATATAAATTTTTTCGATTGCGAATATAAAAAAGAATTACAGATGATAAAAAAGGTTAACCTCAATTGATAGTATTATTAAAAACCACACATGACGATATAATTCTTAACAACCTACATTGACAAAGGGTCATTAAACTAATATAATTATGTGTTATCATCTTAGACAATGTTTTATGGAATTAACTAATTACTAAAAATTTGTAGGCCTAACCAAATTAATATTTCTTATAGAATATAATATAAACAACTAATCCAAATCCTAAGACTATGTGGATTAATGATTGATACTGCTGCTAAGTCAACGTATATAAATTTTCTAAATACCAACCTAATTTTCTAAATACCTACCTAAATTTATTAAAATGTAATAAGACCCTTGTTATTTAATTTACGTGATCGAATCCGGCCTCTTATATTTCATTCCCAAAAGGATGGAACCACCAAGTTTGAATAAGAAAAAAAATATGATCTATATTGGGATTCGAACCCAGAACCATCAGATTGATAAAAGACGATCTTGCCGACTAGGCCACACACGCTTAACATAAATTACGATTTATGCAATTATATATTATAAATAAATTTGGTAGTACCTATCCAAATGAAAAATAAACAAAATATAAATTTGATGGATACTACCTTGAGGTGACTATACGGAGGTTAGACCAATGACATATAATAATATCTTGACTGACGATGCATTCATAGTAAGCATTTGAAAGCGTCGTTGAATGCAAATTAGTGGCCGGCCATTTTGGTAACCCATATAGTAATTATTTTTATGTTAAAAAATTACTATTAAATTGATAATTTTTTTCCTTATTATCGCGATGATCAGACAATTCTTTAATAAAGTTAGCGTCATACTCATAGGAATAAATTGGCCTCTCGTTTAAAATTTTTAATAATGATATGGATAATCAAAATGGCGTCCCCAGCTGTTTTCATAGATGTACACTTTTAATGAATGCATCGTCAGTCTAGGTATTATTATATGTCATTGGGTTAGATCTAGATGACATTATGAAGCTAGATAAGTAATCGATAAAATTATTGTGAGATATTATATTTCTAAAGGATTATATTTTTAATGATATATAAACGACTAGACAGTTATTGCTCAATAAAATTATGCAAAATGCTCTCAGCAGCAAGAGTAATAATCTTAATTGCCACACAAATAATAGATGCTGGTTAATTTACAGTAGCCATGACATTCACGATGTAAACTCATATCAGAATTTATTATGATATATAAATTGATAAAACAAAGACACTAAAAATCTTTAGAAGAAATAATTATGCAAATATCTCGAGTTATTTACACGACAATGATACAATATTAGAAATGAAACATTTTGTAACTATATAATAAGGACCTGAGTTATATGACGAAAGCAATTAAGATTTTATATATTATTGTTGCACAACCTCTAATTGATATATTATATCGTAAAATAGTAGTAGTTTGTAATAATGTCAAAAATATACTGGTATTAAAAATTTAACTCAAAACTGTTTTTCATAGAAGAAAAATATAGTTTTCCTAAACACGTAAATTGAAAAAAAGAGAAGAAAAATATCTAATAAAATTGCATTCATTTTAGGATGACTAATAAGATGTTAAATTTATAATTATATTTTTAAATAAATGAATCGCGTTAAATTGAATGCAAATTGTTACTTATATTTATTATCAAAAGTATATATTATTAAAATATTAACTGAAATATATTATAACTGTCTAATACGTCTATAAAAGTGGCATTTTAAATAATAACAAATTTTATATAAAAGAAGATCGTCAACTATATGTCTACTTACTTTCTATAATGAAATATCCTTATTTGGACCATATAATATATTTAGGAGGAGGCATGGTAATAAAATTTAAAATGAATAATATAGTTGATTAGTGGTTTTGAACTCGGTTATACAATATTTAATTTGTTATTTCAAATAATAAATGATTATATTTATTTAATTAGGGTTACAATTTAAATAATGAAAATAAATTAAGCTTCCACTGTTAATGTTAAATTAATAACTAGACATTATGAGTGATATTGATATTCCATTTTTAACACAGAATTTGATTACAAGCAGACATAGTGAATATAATTTATATATATTACTAATCAAATAAATAAAATTCCACTCATTTAATAAAATCAGATAGTCTTATTAGTTTTTAAATAATAAAACATAATTTATATGTATTAATGGAATCTAATAATTAAAACAGCACTCATTTAATAACGATTTAGATAGTCTAATTAATTTTTTAAATAATAATCAAATTTATATAAAATACTTTATAAAATTATAAAAGAAATCGATCAGGGGGCTATCAAAAAATATTTTTTTAGTTCAGAGGGATATTAAGGAGCCAATACGGAAAAAAAAAATTTTCGCATAGGGTTATTCAAATTTTTCTAGGGACTCTACTGTCTATTATATAAAATTGGTTATAAAATATTGGGTAAAATGCCACTTTTATAGACTTATTTGGCCGTTATAGAATATATTACAGTTAATATTTTAATAACTTTTACTAATAAATGCTTCTGATAATAAATTAAAGTTACAATTTGCATTCAATTCTTTTACGACATCTATTTATTAAAATATATTACTAAAAATTATACAACTTATTATACATCCCACGATGAATGTAATCTTATTAGATATCTTTTCTTCTCTTCTTTTTTTTACATATTTTTTAGGAAAGTTATTTTTTTTCTTCCTTGAAAAATAGTTTTGAGTTAAATTTTTAATACGAGTATATTTTTGATATTAGTACAAACTACTATATTTTAAGATATAATAAACCAACTAGAGGTGCGCAACAATAATATATAAAATCTTAATTGCTTCTATCATGTCACTCTGGTCCTAATTTTATAGTTAAAAAATGTTTCATTTCTAATATGGCATCTTTGCCTTGTAAATAAATCAAGGCTTTAATATATTTGCAAAATTATTTCTTCTAAAGATTTTTACTTTTGTTTTAGCAATTTATTTAATATAATAAATTCTGATATGAGTTTACATTGTGATAGTCATGATTATGACTGCAAATTAACCAGCATTGTGTGGAAATGTAATTTAAGATTATTACATCTTCTAATGAGAGCATATAATTGCATCATTTAAATGAGCAATAACTATTACGTCGTATCATTAAAAATGGAAGTAGTCATTTAGAAGTTTAATATCTTACAATAATTTTCTCGATTACTTATCTAGCTTCATAATGTCATCTAGATCTAAACACCATATAGTCGATTAATGTTAGATACTGTTTCAGGGTCGGTATGACCAGGGGCGGACTGACCATACAGTTGGGCATTTTGCGCACGTGGCCGCGAGAAAATGTCGATTTTTGAGGCCGATCAGAGGAAAATATCAAAAAAGAGGCCAATTAGAAAAAAAAATATTATTATGTTCACATTACGTTCTCTTATCAGTGTCTACATGGCCGGGTAGGGTAGGAGACAAATGCCTCCAAAATATATTGGCATTTTGAGGGGTGGGTATTAATTGGGGGGGGGGGGGTAGATATTGATTTTAGATTGGTAGGTATTAATTTTTGGGGGGATATATATTGATTTTTGGAAGGTAATTTTTGACTTGCAATATGATATTTTAAATTTAAAAATTGATAACCAAATACTGTAAGATTCTTTTTATTAATATCACTATATCATCGTGGATTGGCAAATATTTTTTTAAGGGGGTAAGAGTATAATTTGAAGGAGTTTTTCTAAATCAAATTTTCTGCCATGTAGATGCTGTCTCTTATCATTTATTTATTTTTAATGATATCTCTATGATTTGAATATCACATTCCTTGACAATTTTCATGTCGTTTACTATAATTTAATGCATAAAATACCACGCTTGACGCTATACATCATTACCACGTTCTTTCCTTTGTTTTTTTTCCAAATGAAGTAAAAACGCTTTCGTTTGAGTAGAGTGAAAGCTAAGTTTTGATTAATTTATTATATTACATTTTTATACATTGATTTATTGTAGAAATAATATAGCCAAAATTTCTTGTTCTTAATTCATTGAAATCAAATAAAATTCAGGTCAGTGAATCTGATAAAAGGATGGATGCTTGGGTGAAACAGATTAATTCATCTGGCCAAAATAAGTTGAGAAATCTGCAAAAAATAGGTTAGATAAGGTGGCAGACACATAAAAAGCCCTTAGAGGATATATAGCAAAGAGAGTTTGCTCCCAATAACGATAAATACACTTCAATTTATAATAGATAATAAATTAATTTGAGACAAAAACTTGATAATTTATGTAAATTTATGACTCTAAGTAGAGCTATAATATATTTGGAAATTTATGAAATAATTGGGCCACTGTCATATCTTCAAACTAAAAAAATAGGTACTTTTTCAGCATGGAAAATGATAGAAGATGCTAAGTCTTATGTATCATCGATTATTACATCGATTCAAAATAAAGCAATAAAATGGCTTCTAATTTAATGAAACACTTTAATATTTAAGCTCCCGGAGAGTATCAGGATACAGAATCCTCTGCCAAAAATTCGAATAGGACGAGCGAAGAGAATATATAGTGACAAATGCCAAGATAAAGGTCCTCAAGGATCGATTAATCTTTATAGGTTCGGAGTATTTCGTCTATTATAAACAGCTTGTCGGAACGGCTCTCTGCGAATTGAGAGCTTATTTTGAATGTGCAATATTTACATCCTAGACATTTTGATGAAATAAATAGTAAAGATATATATATTGAGTGTTAAATTACGTAACGAATAATGTTCATTTGCCAGTGTATTCAAAGATTTGGTAGCAGAATTAAATGAAACAGACGGTGATAGTAGTTACAAGTGAGGAGTCAAATGATGAAGATGGAATATTATAATATGATAATAACTCAGAGTGTCATAATAAATGTAACAAGTTAATATGAGTGTATGAAATTTTTAAATGATGCAATATGCATACAAGTGACACTAATTTATTTTTGGCATATGAATGCATTTTAACTTTGTCATTTACGCAGGTTAATTGCGAGAAAACATTTAGTAAATTAAAACTAAGCTGAGAACTAATATTGACCAAGAAAAATTAGAAACGTTTTTAATGATGTCAGTTGAATGAGAACCATTAGCGCAGATTGAACTAGAAGATATTCTTGTATATTTGGGTAAAGGTTCAAAGTTAATGAGAGATTTATATATATTTCCTTAATTCTTTTATTTGAATTTTATTAATATCTATTTACAATATGATCGGTGCCTGAATTTAAAAGTGCAGCAATTTTATACACTGTAATATTGTATAACTGCAATAATTTTATATGTGTAATTAATTGATTTGATATATTGAGTATGTATTTTTTTATATTTAACATGTGATGTATGATTTGATTTTATTGTGCAATATAGTTATAAATCTAATATAATATATATATGTGCAATGAATATTATTTTACTAGTAGATAGCCCGTCAAAAATGACAGGGAATGAGAATTTTCTTCTTATGCTAGATGTTGTTATTTGAAAATTATATCCAATTTTATTCTTTTTACCCCCTCCCCCTTCAGGCCATGTTCAATCTATTAAAACGGCAGGGGTGCCTTTGATCGTAAGACACTTCATCGTATTTTTCGTCCAACTCGTCCAATTCGTTCAAAATGGAGATTAATAATTTTGAAATGGTAAAATTTAATTTTTTACCATAATCTTACGTTAAATGTTAATAATTCTTTTGGAATGTTAATATTTCTTTTGGAATGGTAAAATTTAATATATATTATTCAAATATAGAATATTTAGCAGGTTTCAAATGGCAAAATATAATTGCTACAGCAAATTAAGAAGATTAATAGGTTTAAAATGGTAAAATTTAATATATATTATTATTCAAATATAGAATATTTAGCAGGTTTCAAATGGTAACAATACAACCTAGGATATAATTTATAATTAAGAAGATTAATAGGTTTAAAATGGTAAAATTTAATATATATTATTATTCAAATATAGAATATTTAGCAGGTTTCAAATGGTAACAATACAACCTAGGATATAATTTCTATAGCAAATAAAGAAGATTAATAGGTTTAAAATGGTAAAATTTAATATATATTATTATTCAAATATAGAATATTTAGCAGATTTCAAATGGTAACTAGCTCTTACACAATATCAAAAGAACAACCTAGGATATAATTTCTATAACAAATTAAGAAGATTAATAGGTTTAAAATGGTAAAATTTAATATATATTATTATTCAAATATAGAAAATTTTACAGATTTCAAATGGTAACAATTTATCTTAGCTCTTACACAATATCAAAAGAACAACCTAGGATATAATTTCTACAGCAAATAAGAAGATTAATAGGTTTAAAATGGTAAAATTTAATATATATTATTATTCAAATATAGAATATTTAGCAGATTTCAAATGGTAACAATTTATCTTAGCTCTTACACAATATCAAAAGAACAACCTAGGATATAATTTCTATAGCAAATTAAGAAGATTAATAGGTTTAAAATGGTAAAATTTAATATATATTATTATTCAAATATAGAATATTTAGCAGATTTCAAATGGTAACAATTTATCTTAGCTCTTATACAATATCAAAAGAACAACCTAGGATACAATTTTTACAGCAAATTAAGAAGCTTATTTTATTATTCAAATTTATAATGTATATGACATATGTTAATTATTTCAAATGTATAAATCGAATACAAAAATATAAACAACTAATATTTATTTAGCATGTATAAAACAAATATAAATTATTTACAATAAAAATTATATATTATCAAATAAATTTGAATTATATATTAATTTAATATAAGCTGATGCTTTATCAGCAAATTCTAAGGGTTGACATGGAGTAAACATATTGCCTAAAAATAAACTGTTTATAAAAATAAAATAATTGATGAAACTAGTTATAGTAGTTTGCTACAGAGAGTTGAGATGGGGCACATATATTGCCTAAAATTATATTGATTATAGAAATTTTAATTTGTGAAACTTGATATGGCATTAACAGGTTGCATGTTCTGTGTTACTAAGGGTTGACATGGAGTAAACATATTGCCTAAAAATAAATTGATTTAGTGATTTATTTATAAAAATATTTACCAATATGTGATTTACACTGTTCTATGGTTTGATCCTGCATCTCTGTGAACCTACCTGATTGTAAAATATCCCGTCCTAAGCAACTCCTTTGTCTACACCTGTAATACGATGTGGCATTTATTACTCTATGGATGGTATATTCTAAATCATTAAAACATAAAATATCACGTCCTCTTTTGGATTTTTTATTAGTAATTTTGTTTTCTAAAATTAAAACTAAATTATTTATATATAATTAGATTGCTAACTTTGAATTATAGTGGGATTAATTCTTCTCTCAAGAAGAAGTTTGATATTGTTTGACACCGTTTTAATTTCCATTATTATGATTAAAATTAAAAATATGTTTACACTTTTGTATTTCCCGCACTTTAATGGACCAATCACAGAATTGGACGAAACTTTACGATGAAGTGTCCATACGATCATAGGCACGGAAATCATTAAAACTAAGACTAAATACTATGATTTGAGTAAGAATAAATTAAAAGCTTTTACTTGACAATACCAATATTATTTGTTAAATATTACTGATCACTCATACCTAATATTTAATATTAAAAAAAATTCCCAGGCAAAGTACAAAGCCATAATAATTTTAAAAAATTCTTCCAAGCCCAATGAAAGATCATTATAATTTTGGTAGTTAAGAATTGAAATAAAACATTTAAATAATTATAATGAATTTAAAAATACAATAAAAATCAGATTTTCATGGGCCTTGCTTATTTGATCAGGCCGAGCCCAGGTCTGAAAAATAACTTGTTTTAGGCCAATGTCTGACCCATAGTTAATAATAAAAAAATTATCAAACGTCCAAGCTCATAATTTTCCCCAAACCCAGCCCAATATAATTTATAAAAATATTTTCCAAGCCCAGTCCAACTCATAATAATTTTATAAAAATTTTTCTCAAGCCTGGCCAACCCATAGTAATTTTCAAAATTTTTCCCAAACCTGGAGATAGGTAAATCTCTAAAAACCATATCTATTTTTTATTCTATCTTAACCCAGCTCACCCCTACTTCAGACCAAGGTCAACCCATTTAGACTAAGAGTGAATACTATTTTATTGATATTTAAATTAGCCTTTACCTGAAGGCCATATAAATATTCTGTGTTAAATATTACACCTATGCCTAATATTAAAAAAATTCCCAAGCCAGGTCCACGCACTTGGGAAAATTTTCTCAAACCTGCCAAAGACCATAATAATTTTGGTAGTTGAGAACTGAAATAAAATATATAAAAAGTCACAATGCATTTAAAAATACAATCAGAATATGAAAGTTGCATGGGCCTTGGTTTTTGATCAGGTCTGGCCATGTTTTCAAAAGAAATTTTTTGGCCAATTTCTAGCCCATATTTAAAATTAAAAAATTTTTTGAAAAATGTTTAGCAAGCTACGTCCAAGTCCAAATTAATTGTGAAAAATATTTCCCAAACCCAGGAAAATTCAGAATAATTATTTTTTTTCTTGGATCCTGAAAAATAGTAAGGGGTTTATAAAAATTAAATCTGTCTAATATATGTATATGTTAATTGGGAAAATTTTTCAAAATTATCATTAAATGAAAAGGAAATATCTGATTTACCTAATGAAATTCACGAATACACATTAAAGTACCATTCATCCTAATTTAAATTTTAAACAAACCACCACCTTTCCGAATGATTTATTATTTAGTTACAAATTCAGCGTCTACATGAGTGGGAGGGGTAGGAACAGTTTGCATCCTATTTTTTTGAGGGGGTAGGGGGTAAGCTGCTAATGGGGGTAGGATAAATTTTTTTGGGGGGTTATCTATTAAATTTTGAGATGAAATAAGACAAAATTTATTGCTGTAAAAATTAATAATTTTATTATAGTATTATTATCAGAGACCTGCAGAGGTACCATTTGCACGGCCCGGCCCGGATTTAAAAATTTAATACCCGGCCCGTATATTTTTTAAAAAAAAAATTTCAGGCCCGGCTAGGAATTTTTTTAAAATTATATTCGACCTGGTATATACAAAAATTCACCTATGAGGTATTTTACCATATTTTTCAGCGAGTATTATCGCTTATTATTTAAAAAATACATGTAAAAAGCTAATATGAGAATATTATATTGAATTTATAAAAATTATAAAACTGTTATTTATAAAAATGGATATTTTGAGCATATACTATATTTTATATTGCATTTATAAAAATAAAACTAATATTCATAAAAATGGTAATAATATTTGTCATATACTATATTTTATATTACATTTAAAAAAAATAAAACTAATATTTAATTTATAAAAATGGAAAATATTTTGAGAATATAATATATTGTATTTAATTTACTATTTAATTTATAAAATAAAAATAAATCGCTATTTAAAAAAATGCATGTATAATAAATAGTATTTTGGAAATATAATCTAATTGCACAATGTTAATATAATTTATTTTCTAATATAAATTTTTAACAAAAGAATATAATTGTATTATATAATATTGTAAAAAAAAATAATGAAAAATGTTGGATTAAAAACTTTCATGACTCAAGGTAAATATAATAAATGCAATAAATATTTGACAGTTTGCAAAGTAAAAAACCAGCATGATTGACGAAACCCTATACTCAAAAAAGATATTAAAAATTCACAAATTATCATGAAGAAAGAGAAGCATATCTACCTTTTCAGGTTGAAGATTACTTCTTCTTTCTTCAAGAATTCTCCCAGTAGTGGAAAATTGCACTTAAAGCAGGAATTGCCAATTTTGCTAAAATTGGAAATTCGCTTTGATGAGCCGCCCACCACTTTAACAAATTATCCACCTTAAATGTTTTATCTATTATTTATGTAATTATAATATTCATCATCGGGTATTGACATATTACCAGAATTACCATCGCCCCATTCATAAAACGATTCAGTTTATTTAACAACAGTCGTAATTTGACTGGTCGATGGTATTTCATTTACTTCCTGAGCCTCTTGTAATTTAATATAATCTTTTATATAGTTTTCCGTCATTTTGCGATCTGTCCCTGACTACATACGTAATTGCTTGAATTTGGGACAGAGAAAAAGAGAAATAAAATGATACTTGTGTAAAACAAATTTTTCAATTAAAAAATGCTTTATATTAAGTAAAATCAATTTTATTTCTCCCTTTCTCTTTGAAAGGTATTACAAACTTTAAGAAGTGATATTCCTTTATTTGATTGTTTTGGTAAAATATATTCTAAAAATTTAGATATGAATTATAAAAAGATATATTAATAATACTTGAATATTGGGGCTTATTTAAGATATTCCTTTATTTGATTGTTTTGGTAAAATATGTTGTAAAAATTTAGATATGAATTATAAAAAAAATATATTAATACTTTAAATAAATTTGCAGGAAATTAATAATTAGATCGATCTGTGGGTTGTTAGGTAGTGTTAACCATCACCCAATATTATATAAATCATAACTATAATATAATATAATCTTATAACCATTAACTCATAATGTAAAAAAATTTTATAAAAAATATTAAGGCCCGGCCCGGGTTTAACAATCTTAGGCCCGGCCCGGATATATTTTAAAAAAAATTTTTTACGCCCGGCCCGGATATGTTTAAAAAAAATTATTTTAGGCCCGGCCCGGGTATATTTAAAAAATTTAAAATACGACCCGGCCCTGCCCGGGCCGGGCCGGGCTTAGGGCCGGGTCTGCAGGTCTCTGATTATTGTAATACAATTAATCGACCAAATCTATATATTGCAAACAATCATACACATTGTTTTCCAAATAAACTATCCTTATAAATATAATTTAAAAGGTTTAGATGTTTCAGCAAGCTCATAATGCCATAATAATTAATTCATTGTAAATAATGGAGATTTTAATTAAATTTATTATCTAAAAAATAAATTCTTTATATTCACAAAATATCGATAGTTAGTAGTAGAGATAGATTAATTTAAGTTATCCTTTATAAATTATTTGAAAAGAGTATCAATAAATAAATAGGTAAAAATAATGATAAAGAGACATCGCCGCCGAAGGTGGCGGGGATTTTTTAGGGGGGTAGGCAAAGGTTTTTGAAGGGGGTTTGCATCCAGTGAAAATCCTGTCATGTAGACGCTGTACAAATTATAAAATTAAATTTAATTTAAGAAATTGATATTAAATTACAATAGAAAAAATAAAAAGATATTTTAAGTTATCAAATAATAGTAGGCTAACTACAATCGTAGTCAAATTATATATAAGTAAAACAATAATGTTATACATTTCATCAAAAATGTTATACATTTCATCAAAAATGTTATACATTTTATCAAAAATGTTATACATTTCATCAAAAATGTTATACATTTCATCAAAAATGTTATACATTTCATCAAAAATATTATACATTTCATCAAAAATGTTATACATTTCATCAAAAATGTTATACATTTCATCAAAAATGTTATACATTTCATCAAAAATGTTATACATTTCATCAAAAATGTTATACATTTCATCAAAAATCTTATAATAAGTTATGAATAACATACATTCTTTCTACAATTATGAAGTTATGAGAAAATATACAACACTATATTATAATAGATTGAATTATTTAATGGTATTTGAAATATTAGTAAATGAACAATTTTTACAAAATTATTTAATTCTTTATTTTATTCTTCAAAATATTACACTGCTAATAATCTCTGCAATTTCTCTTGGAATATCTTATCTCTTAAACCATACAATAAATATATTACAATAACTCAGATCGTAACATTAAAAGGTGCTGGAAAATAAGGATCTACTATATGTCAAACAATATATATGGTTAAAAAAAATATTGATGATATTACCAAATATTCTGAGTCAATTTTAAAATTGACAGACAAATGTAAAATATTAAAAGGCAAAAATATAAAATAGTTTTTTATTTTAGGAATCTAAAAATTGACATCTCGGAACAGTATTATTTTATATATGTATATAAAATTAACTGCATCATACCTTAATGAAATTGCTATCCCTATGTCTAATGATACTGTACATTATGTTACTATTATTTGTTATTTATTATTGAATAATATCTAGATCAAGATAATGCCAACAAAGAAAATAAACCCTATAGTTATTAATAAAAATATTCCTATTCCTACTCTTAAAAGATATTATATCATTTCTATTATAATTTTATTATATAACTCAAATATAATAATTTATATATATTTTATGGAAAAATTATCTTTCAAAATAAAAGTTATTATTGGTTTTCCAACTGTTTATTAAATATTGATACAATATTTACAACAATAACCATTATCAAATAATAAGTTCATATATTAATAACTGAAAGGTAATATATAATAATAAATACAATTAAATATTTACATATCTTTTAATAAATAACTAATAATTGAATCATATCAAATATTTTGAATATTTTAATTTTTTTAAAACT